TTGGGTAGGCCAGACGCGTGAAACACTTGGCAGTTCCGTTTCGCGCAATTACTCGACATGGTCTAGCTGTTTATAGGTAGGCCAGACATGCTTGATTGTTGGTCCCGGCGAAAATTGCTAACGTGCCCGACTGCCCGACGATGCCGGCCGACGCATGAACCAACGTCGCCAGAACGGATGGGGCTACGTCGTGACCATCGGCGGGGAGACCTTCTACGACTTCGGGGAGGCGCCGCCGTGGTTCCTCGACGTCTTCGCAGAGCGCAAGGCCTTCATCTACGCACTCGAAATCCTCGCGCAGGTGCTGGCTATAGCCACCTTCGCTGGCTGACTCCCGCCTTTAATGGACGGCATACATCGACAACGTAGCCGGCCAGTGCGCCCTTACCAAGGGCTACGGCAACAACGGTGCCGTCAACGGCATGGTGGCCACAATATGGGGCTTGGCCGCAACCCATGGATGGGCACCACACTTCGAGAGGGTGCCGTCGGCCGACAACATCTCCGACGCACTGTCTCGTGGCGACGAGTCTGAAGCCAAACGGCGAGGATGGACTCGAGTGCACACACGGCAGGAGGAAATCCTCCACATCCTCTACCAGGCCGGCAGCTCGACGCAGTACGCGACTGCATCGGCGCCTACTGAGTTGTTCAACATCGCCTTCTGAGTTCGGGGGGTGGGCGCGCCGGGCGGGTGCTGAATGCGCCCCCGCTCCGGCTGTGTCGGCGATGGATCCGCGACCGACGGATGCGTCGGACTCGCACCCTGAAAAAGGACGATCCTGCCAATTGTTTCCTCGCATGCCATTTTGCGGCGTAGTTCGCCGGTGCATGTTGTGAAGCATATGCGTGCATGTGAGGACTAACATGTATACGACGAACCGAAGCATATCGGCTCGTCGGCTTTTCGCTTCCCTCCCGCCCAACCCTGCGAAAAGGGGGGGGTAGGGAAGGAAACCCTTTTGATTGTGGATTTTGCTGTCGCGGACCACACGACCAGCTGGGCGGGTGCTGAATGCGCCCCCGCTCCGGTTGTGTCGGCGATGGATCCGCGACCGACGGATGCATCGGACTCGCACCCTGAAAAAGGACGATCCTGCCAATTGTTTCCTCGCATGCCATTTTGCGGCGTAGTTCGCCGGTGCATGTTAGAAGTGGACAGTTTCAGGAGTGTAGGTTGCCTCAAACCATCCTGCCAGCCCTCAAGTATCTCTGCGCAATCCCATATGATCCGACAGCTCGAACCCCGCATCCTACACCCTGATGTTCCAGAGCCTGGAGGCAAACTAAATCTTGAAGCCTGTACTTCTGAGCCAGGCGGCAGCGAGGTTTCAGCCTACAGCGAGCCCAGCGGGGAGGGCGTGCGAGTGGATGCAGCCCCTGCCCTGCTGTTGAGGAAGTTGGATTTTAGGTCCCACAACCAAGACACACTCATTCGGCTTGTGCTGTATGGAGATTGTGGTAAACTATATTTTTGAGCTACTTATGGATGAAGTTGTGTAGGGAAATTTGGGCGGCATTTAGGAGTTTGTTCTCAGCAGCCTAGGCCCTCTATGCCGGGGGCAAGCCCAGCATGCACTACGTGGGGCCGGCAAGCTCTTTAAGCTCTGGATTATTTGCTGTCCATTGCATGATTCTTCAAACTAGCAGAGCTATTGGCTTGAGTCCTGGTAGTCAGGATGTCGTGGGCTTTTGCGTTGTATACATCTCTTCATGCATGGAGCTTGGGCGGTCTAGAAGCCATACCTGCCGGCAACTTCGTATTTTATCGAGCAACAAGTTGCTCTGAGCGATCACCTTACGGTATGCTTCCCAAGGCACATCATTATGACCCGTCGTATAATCGCTTCAGCTATGACCAAGGTAATGTGAACACCCAAGCAAAACCGTTTGTTCAATTGAAGGGAATGAGGGGACTGGAAAGCAATCCGACCAGTTTTCGTTTACAATCCTGTTGGTTCTTCGGCCAACCTTTTGGACTGTTGATTCTGATGGATTCAACAAATGTTGGCTTCACAAAGCTTCGTCTGACAAATGAACAAACCCATAAGACAATGACATTGGATTAGTGGCTCCCTTGCTTTTTGTTTTGCTTGTTCTTTTTTTCAAAAACAACTTTTGTGCAGCAATGTAAATAAGCGAGTCTAAAAGACATCCACTAAGGACTTGAACAATAGCTAGAACTAGGGGTATCCTTGAATTCCTTGTTTGAATCTGACTGCTTGACAGTTTGGCAGTGATAAAATAGCCAGCCTACACCACACTTCCTTCAATGAACATGCCCCTGATCAAACGACTTTCATGCCGGTGAGGTTTTATGATTAGGGAGGGTGATGAGAGGGATGCTCTTCGTTGATCAGAGGGAGCGACTACAGGTGTGCAGCCGCGGCAGGAACTTGTGCCACGCAAAGTCGTGGCATATGTTCACCGCGCACAATACAGTTTTGTGGCAAGGTTTGATTCATTTCGCTCGACTTGTGGGTCCGTGTTGGTGCACATGCACATGGCCTTCAAGGGCGTGACACTGCAACGTGCAGGAGCGACCCTCCCCTTAACCATCAAGAAGGGGGTGTCATTCTTTCATGGATGGGGAAAGGTAAGGAGAGGAAAACGACCAGATCCCAATTTGCTTGTTTCAGATGCCCCTCCTCGGTAGGGCAAATCGAGTTTTTTTTTGCCGAGCTTGGTGAGTGCTGTTCAGGCCTTGAGCTGGCTGCCAGGACCCCCTCGTTGGAAAACTGATCTGCTACGCGCCTGGCGAAGGCCATGTCTGGGGTTTTGGCTAGTATGCACAATTTGCAGACTGTCAACCATGTCATTCACAAGCTGTTTCTTGCCCAGAAAATCCCTTCATAAAAGTCATGAACTAAGCTATCCTTCGTATCATGTAGAGGCACAAGTTGCGGCATGCCACAGCCGATTTCACGACTGGGTGCAAGGTTTCCCAAGCCCTCACCTGGAAACTAGAGTGCTTGCACAATGTTGACTCGCGCTGCTGTTGTTGTCAGTATCAGCCTTGGGGCCATTAAACTTATCATTGGCAAGCTTGACAGTATCTACACTGCAGTCATGATTCAAGGCGCTATCGGCATTGTCTTCTGGTTTGTGGTCAATAGCACGGTTGAGCGGAAATTCGGTGCCAGCGCTTCAACAAGAAATTCTAGTTGAATTGCTCACGTATCACATCCGGGAAGGTCTTTCTGTTGCGGGCAAGGTGATGAAGCCTTCCAAGCCTGTCGCGAGCGGACCATTGCGGCGCTTGACAACTACGTGATCGACGGGGCCCGCTGGCGTCAAGAACGTTAAGTTTCGGCAAAGTCAGGAGAATTGATGATTCAACTCCCACGCCCCAACCTAGGGTCGGTAAATACTCCAGAAACTACAAATCAAGTGTTTTGGGGCCGTCCTGGACAGGGGGCCTGGACAGGAGTAGGTGAAGGGCAGAATTTCGGGGTTCTTGCTTACTAGGGCCTCGGGGACAACTCCGAATTAGGGCCTTGTTAGGGACTATGCCCTATAAGGCAATTGCTTAAGTGAGGAGTCACTGTTATTCAAGTTATTCCGCTCAGGGGTGGCCATTATTCGTTCAAGGAGATACTCGCCTTTGTCTACTGTGACCCTCAATATTTTTCAAATCACCGTCAGCATCGATTGGAGGTATTTATTGAGTTGTATTCGTCAAGTTCCTGTACATATTTGCCTGCGCAGGATCTTGGAACCCACTGCGAGAAAGCAATGCCATGAACATGTATCTGGTATTGTGACCAGTGATTTTTTTGTAATCTTCTGCAAATCATGAATGCTATATGACATTCACTGTAGCACATGCAAGCCACCCTAAACGATTCTTGGAAGGTCAACACAAACAAGCCGGTGTTACATGGCATCCTGCACCACCCGGAGTTCATCAAGAACGAGGCTGGGGCAAACCTGAAAATCAATTATCGTCCCTGGCATGGAGGTCCATGGTATGTCCCTGTAATTTGGGTAGCCTGCAACAGGCATCTTTCGGGGTTGTCAATCGTGTTATGAGCCCAGGTATCTGCAGTTATGAAGTTCCATGAGCTGCCCAGTACGTTAGTCGGTATGCAACCATAGAATACTCTCTTTCAAGCATGCTAAGCTTTCAACGTTGCTCGGTTTGTAGCTGAATTCCGCCTCGACCAGGCTTTGTTGTGCTAAGTCTGGCAGGATGAAATGTTGCACAACGCAACGCTCTACAGATCCGTAGCCTGTTCTGCCGGCTTAGCTTCAGGGATGGCCTCCTGTGATTTCATCATCCTCGCTCTACGTGGTGCACGGGGATGCTCCCGGAAAAGCATTGCACGGACTTGTAGATCCATGCATGCTGTGCTAGCACTGAAGAGAGGACCCACTACCTTAACGTCAGGATGAAATTCCTGGTAGCTGGGAATTGTATTCCTCCCTCATGGTAGTTTGTCCTCTCTGTCGAGCTCGAACAAGAATTAAATCATTGTGTTTGGTAAAAGGCTCTTTTGAGGGAACCCAAGGGTTGTGGATGCTTTTGACTCAGGTGCTCCTGTCCTTCATGGCCCGGCATGGCCCAACCCTTGCTGGCGGCCCAAGCACCCCGAGCAGCACCAGCAGCGGCCCCGGCCTTCCGATTTTGGCAGGTTGTGCTAGTTGATGCTAGCAGATGTGGTCGTTGTGTCGTAGTAGTAGCAGTCGTAGCAGCAGTAGCTGTAGGAGGAAGAGGAGGGAGTAGTACTACGTACTCCTGCAGCGGCTACAGCTACTACTGCTATTGCTACTGATACTGTTATTATTCTCGCTACGAGTAATCAGTGATGACTCATGTTCATTTACAATCATACGACTGTTGTTATTGTGCACAGTGTTCAGCAGCAACGTGCTAACATGGATCGTAAAGCCGCTATGACTACCACCAGCAGCCGTAGCGGCAGCGGCACCGGCCCTGCCCCCCCCAGCACTACCACCAGCAGCAGCAGGAAAAGGTTGCAACAACAACAATGATAGTAATCATAATACTAGTAATAGTACAGAATTCTAACAGTATTAGTAATGATAATAACAGGAATAGTAACTACGATAATAGTAGTGATGATAACGATGACAAGAATAATAAGAAGAACAACGACAACAACGCCGATGCCGACGCCGACGCCGACGAAGACGCCAACGCCGCCGCCGCCGCCAACAACAACAATAACAACAACAACAACAACAACAACAACAGCCGCAGCAAAACTAGCAACCGCAGTAACAGTAACAGCAACACCAGCAGCAGCAGCAGCAGCAGCAGCAGCAGCAGCAGCAACAGCAGCAACAGCAGCAAAGCAACAGCAACAGCAACAGCAACAGCAACAGCAACAGCAACAGCAGCAGCAACAGCAACAGCAGCAGCAGCACCACCAACAACAGCAGCAGCAACAACGACGACGACGACGACGACGACAACAACAACAACAGCGCCACGACCACCACCACGACCACCAGCACCAGCAACACCACCGCCGCCGCCGCCGCCGCAGCGGCAGCGGCAGCGTCAGCGGCAGCAGCAGGAGCAGGAACGAACAACAGCAGCAACAGCAGCAGCAGCAGCAGCAGCAGCAGCAGCAGCAGCAGCAGCAGCAACAGCAGCAAAGCAACAGCAACAGCAACAGCAACAGCAACAGCAACAGCAACAGCAACAGCAACAGCAACAGCAACAGCAACAGCAACAGCAGCAGCAGCCCCACCAACAACAGCAGCAGCAACAACGACGACGACGACGACGACGACAACAACAACAACAACAGCGCCACGACCACCACCACGACCACCAGCACCAGCAACACCACCGCCGCCGCCGCCGCAGCGGCAGC